TTTCACCATCTCATCTGACCATCCCGTTCAACAATCCACGACAGAAAATCAAATTAGCGTGTTATTCCCGTAAGTACTCATTCATAACGAGACGTGTGCCACGTTAAAACCGCGTGCAGCAAATCCTTTCTCCAATATAATGTCCACCCGCGCTACCGTTATGGACTGGAAATCATCTCATTTCGACAAAAGCGCCTACAACTTGAATACAATATACAACTACAGTGGTCCAATCAAAATCTTTCTCCCCTTTTTTCTTCGCCGTCGTTCATTCAATTGCAAGTACTGTGAATCTTCCAACAATGAGCTCACTCTTTGCTTCGAGTTCCCCGGCGGTACGCTCGCTCATAGCTTCATTGCAAGTAAAATTATCTACCAGTCCTTCGACTTCGCCGGCGGTACGCCCATGCTCACCTCACCCCATTTCTCCTCTTCTTTGTCCCTTTTCATCCGAACCTGCTCGGATACACTCTACCGGTCGGTGTCTTTAATATATATGAAAATTTTCCGTCAGAGGGTAAAAGCTTACCGGTTAACGCTATGTATTCACATATGTACATATGGTCAAAAAATCCTCCGAACCCCGAGCTTGGGTCCAGAATCCGAACCTGAGAGGGTTTATGTATGTACATACCCTTCTCCGTTCCGACTCGGAATAGGAAGGACCTCGGTGGGATACACATTGCGTTCATTACCGATACTAGCTGATACTGTACCGGTACCGCAGTTTCCCCACTGCACACATTCTTTTTGACAGACAAAGGCATTATACAGGTCCGACAAGTGATTCTCATATAACATTCCATCATGGTGTAGTGGCTAACATTATCGCCTCTCATGTCTTGACACCAATCATTTGCTTGTCTTCGGCTCTGGTTATGAGTAGGCAAACGCGCCGTTTGCCTACTCATAACCAGAGCCGAAGACAAGCAAATGATTGGTTGACGGTAAATTTTTGAATTTACCTAGATCAATATTGTGAGTCCCAGGACTCAAAGGGCACACGTCGCTACGTGTTCACATTGCCCCCATGTCGTTTCGCCAAACGACTCAGTTGCGTCGCACGCAACTTATCTTATGCACCGCTGTGCAAATAGCCGCGCTCGGCTTAATACCGGAATTTTCCGGTCATGTGGGTATGACGGTCATGAGTATTGAGTCGCTCACTCTTCTCGCTCATTGCCCGTTGTACCCAGGTATGTTCTATATCCATTATCCTGCTCTTCTCGTTTACTGAACGTTGTAAACACAGTTTCTCATCGCTTACCCACCCGCCCACCCTTGTACTGCTCGCCTTCCCATCTCATATCTGCGTTTCAGTTTTGTCTACTCTATTTTTTGCTGCTGTACCATATTCTCCCGCCTATTGTATTTTATCCTTGTATTTGTATAGCGGTCGCTCGCATGCCCATTTGTAATCCATTCCAATTTACCGTCAACATTTTCTCAGTGCGCGATAGCCCAGGGTTCGATTCCCTGTGATGGAACTAACGTTGTCCCAGTTCTTTTTGGACCTCTTTGTAGCTATTATTCCATTCCTTTTAATGGCTATCAGTAAATTTTCGGTGAAATGACGACGCACTACCAAAACCTTATAGAGTCCCCGCTATTCATTATAATGCTTCTTGTGAGGCCTACACCGAGCAGGCATCTGTTCTTGAGCTTTTGCTAGATAGGGGTCACTGGGGATGATGATGGTTAACGAGATCGCAATCAGTCAACTATTGAACCAGCAATGTATTATGATGTATCTTCTCATCACAAATTACAGGATTATAAATAACAAATAAATACCATCACAGTGGTCAAGGTTGACTGCACTATATTGCTGATTGAAGAATCCCCTGTACATTTAATCTTTTTGATACTGGAGGCACAATAACATAGAGGAACTTCACAAAGCCCTAGAAAGACCACACTGCAACCATACTTCAAAGTACTTGAAAATTGTACTTTGGCCTAATCAACAGAACTCGACGTCTGGACCATGATTGAACTATGATCTATTTTAACAGAGGCTGAAGCAAATCGAATGGATTGGGATAAGGACATGTTTTTCTTTCCTTGTTCGGAACTCTCAATGGCTGCTATAAGAATGATGAGAATGGGATATAGAGCCTGTTGAAAAAAATGTCCCAAAGATCTTGATGAGAAATTTGAACCCGTGTTGGATATGATGACATGCAACTTACAGACAAGCCTGGCATTATCGAAGTGTAAATTTGAAATGCAAAGTGATCCTCAGAATCATCAACAACAAGTGCTATGGTAAGATAAGCAATCTGCATGCGGCATTAGTATAAAAATTCTAATTCTCCGTGAGCATAAATGAATACAGTGTCTCTTACCCACAGTCCAGAATACAATAATCCTGACTCAATTAGAAGTGAAAGAATTTTTTGGACTTTGCTTGGAGACCCATTGCTTAACCCTAAATTCTTTCTAATGTCTTGACCATGAAGCCTGGAACATAATTGGATAGTTTCCAAATCTGAGTCATATGATATCACTGAATACACCATAACTCACCATGCTTTGTATGCAATTAATGAAGTTGCAACAATGTTTGTAATGAGGATGGGAAGAGCAATAATTAATACATTCAATTTTGAGTTGTTTCCAACTGCATTTTGCCAGCTAGCAAGCAGCCTCTTTGCAGCAAGGCTGGCATCTGTGAATGCACCAACTGTTTGTAGCTCAAAATTAGCACTGCTTACTAGTATGCTAAAATAAGTATACTCACCCAAAGAACCAATCATGCAAAAAAAGAGAACAATTTTGACCTTCCGGTTTTGGGGAAATAATATCCAGGCCCTCCAAGCTACAATGCCATCACTGATTACATACTGAGGAGAAAGGAATTTAAAGCAAGATGATTGATGTTCAATGCGAACTCTCTACATAGGTGTAAAACAATAGATCTCGCTCACATTTAACCTGTCTAAAACAGTATAACTAATTTGTAAATTTGGAAGAAATGGAACAATCTGGTCTTGAGTTGGTGGATGGGCACTAAGCAATGATAATTGGGAAATGCTGAACACTCTTCCAAGGATAAGGGATAACATTGAAGTGAACAGCATAAGAACTGTGAGAACTGATATCCCAACTACTCCCCTGGATTGATAAGCTCCTTTTGATCTGGGAATGGCGCTTCTTAATCAGCATAGTTGGATGACTTGAAAGAAATTCACTTGAATAAATAAATAGCTGTGATGGACAAGGTTATATAGACACCATATAAAAGGAAACCAAGTGCAGTTTGGGGCATCCACTCCGTCAGGATTGAGATGGTAGTGTCATCAAGGGCACGACGGTAGTGCTGTACACGTGAAATGGCCATGGAGGACTTGGGAGATAAGTAGATGATTGTCGTTTGAGAGCGCTGATATAGATACTTGATTTCAAGTTACTTATATACATTTCATGTGGACCATTGCTACCGATACCAAATCTGCGTGACATCCGGTTGTATCTTTACAGGGTCCTGAGACCAGCCTATCTTGTCCAGAATAAATTGGGAATTTCGGATTATGTTTCATCAAATTCAATGTCTTGTGTCTAGATTCTTGGCAGCATGAGGTGGGTGGTCTTTTTGCTATCCAGGGCAGACTGCATCTGCAACGGGAAATATGGCGGCCCCACTCATGAAAATAGAAAAATGCAAAACGTTGGATGATGGACGTTGTTCAAATACGTGCTTGACCCCTTAGAAGCTCCCAAGTTTGAGGATTTGTGCAGTTGTCACTCAGATAAACATACATGGGCGAGCATTAGGGACTTGTTGCGGCATTTAGACCAGCTCCAAAGGGTTTTGTTGAGTGGAACTTAGTGGAGCTGATGTAAAGATAGAACATTTCTAACCTACAAATGGCGTGTTTCCAAGCTTAAAATAAAGGCCCGTTGCAGATGCGGTCTAGTGCGAGCACCTTTTAAAGTTAGCCTGTTCGTGTTCTTTTGATGGCGATTTCATTCAACCAGAGTCTATAAAAGCATAGACCAGTGATGATCCATAAAGTCTCAAGTTACCTGATGGCAGTGGTAGTTCCCGATCAAATTGTTGATTGATGTAATTTATCACTAATATAAAGTAAATTGCGCATTACTAGAGGAAGAACCCTGGAACTTGATTTAGTATGCCGATGCGAGTCCTAGCTCGTAAGCATACCAGAAAGTACAGCGATAACAGGATAGAGATCTAGAACTCGGGAGTTGAGTGTTGATGTTGAATGGCAATATCGACCGTCATGAGACTCAGGTATTTCCTGGTACAGATATACATGCAAATGGCAGTATGCTGATGCTATGAAATAGGTAAGTACTTGGGACACGGAGAAAATACCTGGCCATCAATTCTGTACTTACTAAATAGGTTGAAACATGACTGCCTAAGCAATTGGGATCAGTAAGGATAAGGACAAGACCTCATATTAATAAAATTCGGCCTCGTAATCAAAGGTTCTGCTTTCCGCACTGCGGAACTTGAAGCAACTTATGTGGTAATGGTCCTTACTGCAAGGGGGAACCAGACCAGGATTCTGGCACATCAGGTAAAGGAGGGAGGGGCAGTCAGACTTTGGCCCAAATTTTTTTCTGACCTACTTTTTTGGGTAATTTTTACTTCTTATCAAGACTTATGAACATTATATCAGGTTAAAAAATGTGCTGTGATGTGTTTCGCATGTTTTTGAGATAGCTATAGTACTTTTATCTTGAGTTTGAGTATCCTTTTTTGTCTTATCTATGTACATGTTATCATTCTGTAATGATCTAATCAAATATCATGGCTTTATCTATTGACCATGTGACCTCCAATATCAATCCAATATACTATGGTAAGAGAGTGGGTCCGGCAAGGGTCTATAAAGTTTATTCCAGTTCCCCCTTGCCTTACTGAACATACAACATAGACTGTTTAAAAACAGTCATCAGACGAGAGCAGTACCTTTTTGACAGACAAAGGCATTATACAGGTCTAACAAGTGAGTCTCAGATAACATTCCATCATGGTGTAGTGGCTAACATTATCGCCTCTCATTTCTGCGTATGCATAATGGTCAGTGCGCGATAGCCCAGGGTTCGATTCCCTGTGATGGAACTAACGCTTTCCCATGTCTTTTTGGATCCCTTTGTAGCTATTATTCCATTCATTTTACCTCTATTATGCACGAATCAGCTCAGTGTTATACTTAGTTCGAAATAACATTACTTATCATGGTAATTCCTTTTCTTGTAAGTAGTCTTTGTATTTGGATCGGAAAACTCCAGGTTGTTCTAGTTACTCATGTTATCTACCCATACTTTCCTGTTTTTGTTTCATTTTGATAATATATAAATATCCCATTCTCAGTTTATTTCTCTGTTCATGACACTAGCAACTCCTATTTCAAAGGAGTGTCCCAGATTGTCACCTGAGAGTGTTTATGTACCCTTCTCCTTGTGAAATACCTATTCATGTCCCATCCGACTCGGAAGAAGAGGACATCGGCGAGATATGGTACCAGTACTGCAGTCTTTCTTTCCCCACTGCAAACACTCGTTCTCTACATTTCCTTCCTGAATCCTGGTTGGCAATGTCTTTTGACTTGACAAGATGATAAGTACTATCTAGGTCTGACAAGTGAAGTTAACTTATCATTCCATCATGGTGTAGTGGCTAACATTATCGCCTCTCATATGTTTAAAATGTTGAAGAGCGCGATAGCCCAGGGTTCGATTCCCTGTGATGGAATCGAAGCGAAACGCCTTCTCTTTTTACATCAACCATGCACGAATCAACGTCATCGTGAGATCACCCGATTTGATTGCCTGACTTGACAGGCTTGTTGGCTTGATGACAAGCTGCGAGCCAGGCAACGCAATCTTGAATAGAATCATATAATAAAAAAATGAACTGGCTGAAAATTTGAGTGAGCTGGACCCCTTGTCGCTTGACCCCCTTGACTGGATTGTACAAGCCGGAACAAGCCAGGCAAGATGGAGTCAATCAAAACTTGAATAATCGTGATGTTGGTGTCATAGTTTATAATTCTAGCTTATATTCCTTTTTTTGTAAGTAAACTTTACCAGTTTTCCAACAATTACTTCCTCTGCAGCTTTTTTTTTGTGAAATTAGACTTTACCAGTTTTCCAACAAATACTTCCTTTGCTGGATTTATACAGGTTATTATGACAAGAAGAGTATGTAATGGTAGTCCTGAAATCCTGAAAGGGCGTTTTCTTGATCAAAAAATACCAGCTTGTTTTTAGTTGCTCATGTTATCTACCCATACCTTTCTTTACTTTGTTTCATTCAATTCAACTTACACCTATAATGTGTAAGTAGATCATTCTCCGTTCATGGTCACTAGTTACAACTACTATTTCAAAGGAGTGTTTATCTACCACACCAGGTCACTCCAAGCCTGAGAGTGTATCCTTCTCCATGTCAAATACCTATTCATGTCAATGTCGGAAAAATCGTTTTAGCGAAATAAGCCGAAATAACCGTTTCTTCCCACGTATAATCCAGAATAATCGACATTTTTCAATTATAGTGTGCTTCCAGAATCTCAATCCACTAGATACTAGGGATTATAGTACTAGATTTTAAATTAAGTTAAGCCCATGCTTAAAACTGGCATTCGGTAGTCAGGGGAGTGCTCTGTACATCACCGAAAAACGGTTACAATCCCGGTGCTCCGATCATAATCCCAGGGCTCCGATTATAACGACATATAATGCCGGGAACAACATTTTTCTACAGTAGATAGAAAGCTCCCCCGGTTGTGCAGCTGTCTTTTCAGACCTGGAATACCCTTAATTGAGGAACTAGTATTATTTGTTCCATTTCTCAATGAATTATGATGCTCGCATTCTGAAATTATTGAAAAACGATGATTATTCTGGATTATACGTGGGAAGAAACGGTTATTTCGGCTTATTTAGGCTTATTTCGCCAAAATGATTTTTCCGACACACATCCGACTTAGAAGAGGAGGGCATCGGTGAGATACGATACTGGTACTGGTACCACAGCCCACCAATAACCTCGTTCTCTACATTTCCTTCCTGAAACCTTGGTTGGCAATAAGTACTTTTTGACAAGATGATATACATAATATGTGCTATACAGGTCTGACAACTGAAAGTAAGATAATATTCCATCATGGTGTAGTGGCTAACATTATCGCCTCTCATATGAATACCATGTTGAAGTTGTTTAGGCTAAAAAAAGTGTTGCTAGAGATTGGACAGAAACCTGATGACTATGCTGAAGAATGGAGATTAAACCTCGAGATAAATCTTGCGACGAAATGAAAGTATATAATACACAATGTCAGTATTGCTGAACTCTATAGGAGATGACATTAGAGGACAAAGGCAAGTGTTTACCCCAACATGATGATGACACGAAGATACCGTGAAGATTTTTGGTATTGTAATAATAGAAACAAAATTCATGAGAACAGAATAAAAGGGAAAGAGACAAAAACAGAAGCCCTAGAGGGTTAAAATCTGGCTACTGCTGGGGTGATGATATACTTTTCCTTCAAGTCCTATCTTGGGAGCCAAATTTATGATTATGGTAACATTGCTTGCGTATACTAGTGCATTCAAATGGTGATGGTCCTTCAGACAAGAATCAAATTTGTGCATAAAGCACCAACACCTAAAGACATCCATTAAGCGGATATATAAAGCTGTTCTCGACTACTGTGCATGTGCATATATTTTTCAGGCTGATTCTTGGAATAACCGATAGCAAGGCTCAGCTGTGATATATCTACGTATTTTTTTTGAACAAGAACTTACTATGATCTCTAGGCATAAAAGCAAAAATTGACAAACACTAAAAACGAGTAAGAAATTTGTGGATAAACTTTCACAAGTAAAATGACAGATTGAATAGCCAAGAAAGAATACATAGAGTGGTGGAATCACATATCCAAAATAAACAGAGGGGAGGGAATATGAGAATTGATGATGTAGCATCAAAATATGACTATCACAGGACCATCATTTTTTGTACCCACGAGTATAAAAATGAAAATTTCCACAAAACTACCGATATCTATTCGGACATATTTCATCTTGTTGGATTTCATTTTGGATCCAATCCACAATTACTCACTGGTTTCGAAGTGAGGGCCCCTATTTACTGGTTTATATACAATGTATGTACAATTATTGAACCTCGTGCGCTTGACACAAGTTCCCTGCCTCTCAGAGTTTATCTGCTTTTCTCATGGTGTCATGGCTAATATTACATGGTGCTGTCTTGGCCAAATTTAGTTTCGCCATATCTTGAAGGGACATATCGTAGCAATTATGGGTTTGCAACAGCATCTTATCAATCTAATCATTGTATTTTTGGATAGTCGTGAGCGTTTTACATGCGTAGAAAGTAAAAGTAGTTAGTAATCTTCAACATGACTCATAGCAATTGAGATCGATACATCAAAAACATATAAGCACACGGTTAAAGAACTTCTCATCGTTCAGCACTGCCATGACGTTGAACGATGATATAAGACGTGTCCGTATTTGTGGCCATTCTGCCCTTGATGGATGGTCCTGCAGCTCTCCCCTCTCTTGGTCCCACCTTGGGAGCTGTTGTTCTTGGTGCTCTTTTCTCATCTGTTCTGTATGGAATATCATTGCTACAGACATTCAACTATTTTCATGCCGAATTTGCTCAAGACCGGAAGTTTACCAAAGTTTTAGTGAGCAGCTTTTTAGGATGTTACTTTTCACTTCTTTGAATCAAGACCACCAAAATGAAAAAGGTTATCATAGTCTGGTAAGTGTCTTCAATCTATGTTTGTGTTCCCTGTAAAAGTTCTCAACTTGTTATAGCATTCTGGAAACAGTGCATACAGGTTTCCTGTGGACATATGTATACTCAAGCACAGTGGAAGACTTTGGAGATCTAACAATGGCAGCAAAAATGCATTGGGGACTTAGCTACTCAGTCCCAGTGGCAAATGTTGTTGTATGCATTGTTCAGGTGAGTGACTTGAGCTTGATATTTTTGACAGGATTAATGTTCAATATCTGGCTCTTTTTCAAGATATTTTATGTGTACAGGATATACATTCTCTCAGGAAATAGGTGGTATCCTAGTGCCAGTATTTTAGCAACTATAATGCGACTGGTTGGTGGAATTTACATCCCAATCAGTGCAGCTTCGATGCCTGTTCAAACTTATGTTGCCAAGTTTGAGTGGCTCGTAATATCAACCATTTCACTTAGTGCTGTTGTGGACACTGCAAATACTATTGCCTTGTGCATCTGTTTGAGAAAAAATTTTACTGTCCAGAAAAGGTAAGAGTCGAACTCTGCTCAGGTGATGTTGCTTCACTGCTAAGATAACTTAGTACTCAACGACTTATTGAAAAAATTACTCTATGGACCATTGGTAGGTTTTTTTTTGAGCAAGATTATGTTGAAAGATTCATATTGTTGGCCTTCAACAGAAACTGGTCTAATTACAAGGTAGCAGTTTTTCATTTCAAATAAATAATATTCCCTCATTGCAGTAAATTTTTTAGTTTATTTGGAATAGTAGAAATAATCTTGGTGAGGGCTACATATATCATTAACATTTAATCATTGAATAAAAATCTATCTGCAGTTCATCTGCAAAAAAGGGTCTTGTGAGTTCCTTTATATTGTTTACACTTTATCCTCTGACTTTGTGGTGCACATTGTAGTTGTCTGGTTCCTCTTCTGGTTCCAGACCGCCAAATGTAAGCTGTTTCTTTGTGTTGTTGACCTCAATTAATGATTTTTGTCCCAAGTATATTCAAATGGCTTTCTTGCCTCGTAGGTAGCATTTTCTTTGCATTGATCTAATATGGTGACATGAAAATTTCACAACCTACTACTTTACTGGGTATTAGGTTGAATGGCCGAAAAAGGCTGCGGACCATTCAGACACAACATGAATTCAGTGACCTCGTCTTCAGAGGCTCACAATCAAGATCATTGTCTGCCAATGTTGGTGAAAACTCTAGCTATGCTTCCAACTTCATTTATTTACTCATATGCAGCATCAGTTACAAGTACAGATGCGGATTGACCACATTAGCTCTAGAGAAAGCATCCCAGCCAGTGATTTCCCAAACTCGGCTGTGGTAAGATATCTAAGTTTTGAAACAGGAACTGATCTGTTGACTTTTTTTTCGAAATGGGATAGCTGCAAAATGATATAGAAACACAAAAGGAGTTACGGAGCTTGAATATCTAAAACAAGTGAAATAAGATGCATATAGGCTCTGATGTTTATAAGCACGTAATTCTGTGAACTTACATGTGGAAATCTATGTCTCTACTCAGTTCTAGTTTATTGTTTTTACAGCAGTAGGAGAATAAGCAAATGGTTACACTCAGGTTTATCAAAATCAATTATTATGTTCCAAAAAGTTCAATCTGGGATTTTTGTGGATTTATCAAGCCCAAGGACATTTCTTTTGGTGTTGTATAACAGTATTTTACCCAAAAGTGAACCGAAAAGGAGGGCTATAAAATTCAAAATCAACATGAAATTTCATGATGTTACAAATGCATGTGATCATTACCTTTGATCAGCATGAGTATAAGCATTTGTAAAGCCCACTAATACTATAAGCCAATGTCATCAATTACTGAAATGACTATTAGCATTTTGTTGTTAAACTCAGACAGAGCTTTACGGCAATGATTATGAGGCTGAGAGGTACAGTGCCTTACATAAACTTTTTTGTCTAG